ACTGGCTGTTCCCTCATCGAGGGCTGATTGGGTCATATCACTGAAGCTCGCTGTTCCCGCTTCCAGGGCTGATTGGGTCAGATCACTGAAGCTCGTTGTTCCCGCCTCCAGCGGGGAAACTTAGTTAGACTGTTTCTCTGGGACTCTCTCTTCCGCACGACTGCCTTCTCTTCTCATATGGAGAGGGCTGTGAACGTCTAGCCCGACTTCCTCTGCCCCCGTCCGTTCTCACTGCGCCTCACCATCTCCTGCAAGCGAACAATCACCCACACAAGCTCATCCACCTCGTGGATTCCCACTCCCCTTGCTCACGCAGAGTAACCGTCTGAGAGCGGACACTTCTGCCCTGATGTCGGACGCAGGTACACCTTGCTCGCATTCCTGGGCCCCCCCCCCAGCGCCGTCTGCCCTGGCTCTCCTCTTGCCACACCATTCCCTGCTTAGCTTCCAATCTTCGATAGATCATCACGCACACGTACGAAACGTGCATCATGCCCAGTGAGCTCTACCTCTGTGCACGCCGTGCACGCTAGTCCACGCTCCTTCCAATTCCCCCCTGTTGTCTCGCCCCCTGGCTCTTCTATCTCCGCGGCCTTAACTGCAGGTACCCGTAAGGCTCACTGCCCTCCTSACTCTCCAGTACCCAGCTCGAGACGGAATGGTGCCATTGGTTCCAGCGGTACAAGGCCTACGGGTCCGGTGTACCTGTCTCCAGCAGCAGTAATCCCGTTGGTACCGCAGTCTTGACCCGGTAGTCTTGGATCAGAGCCCAGCGGTTCCATGAGTTTCATGATCACTGCCCGAGTGAATTTTCCCCCGGACCGGATCAAGTATTGTACCATGTGATAACGGCATCTGCTTCAATGTCCTCTCTCAGCTACGAACCAGCAACCTTGTAGAAACATAATAGCTCCGGACTGCAGTGGCTGCACCGATACCAGATCAACGCCAAGGTCGAACCACAGACCATATCAAAACAAAAGAGGCAGACTGGAACACACCCCCCCCCGGGGCCGCGTCGTGCCGTCGTCAATTCAGTGTCTGTGGCAAGGAATAAGTGTGCCAGAATCGTGAAAACTCACACTGTGTCAACCTTGTAGCGTTAAATTGCGGCCTGTACCATCACCATACCTGGGCCGTACCTGTCCCAGCAGTCTTACCAATTCCGAACCTGCAAACAAGAACCAGTCTGCAATGCCATGCCAGCCCGAACTAGCGGTCATTCCGGCCGTCTCGACAACGAATAGAAGTAGCCCGTACCGACACCGTCCCAGTGAAAGTACTAAGCCAACTCCGAAACAGCAACCATGGTCACAGAATATAGCGCCCTGCCGGCTATGGCTCATGTCAATACCAAGCAGAACGTGCCGAACCTGAATCGCCACCCTGAATTTCAACAGGCTGTGCCGTCGTCACACCAATCCGATGGCGAATACYGTTTTGTGGATAATGTCTCGTCACTGCACCGAACCTTCCCTTTTATTCTGCCTCCTGAAATGACATGCAAGTGGGTCGTGAAGGCACACGGGGATGCCGAACTCGTATAACCGTGCCATGTTAATTACGTACCTGTCCTGATCCTGACATAGAATGCCGCTACGTTTTCGGACCTGAAAACTAACTGCCGCCAAGGTTCCAAACCTGGAATAATTGTCGTAGTGGCCCCGGTCCTGGAAGTAAATCACCGCAGCTGTCCCAAACCTGAAAATAAGTCACCGTAGTGAGACAGCTGTTACCCGGCCCATACCGTACCTRAAGCACATCAGGCACCGTAGGACGCAGCGACTCCGTAACAACCCTCGTATCCGTACCGAACCAAACACCATAGTCGACCCAAGGCAGCACCACCC